CAGGGGCTGGAGCTGAATGCAGCAGCTGTGTTTGCAATGGCTGGCGGCTTCTCCTCTGCCTCCTCTTGGCAGCAGCACTGGCGGGAGGCTGCTTTGACTCTTCTTACCCTCCATGGCAGGAGAAGGGGAAAAAGGAGTCGGCCACTGGAGCCACATTGCAGTCAGCTCCATGCTTCGCCTCCACACTTTTTGTTGGGGCCAAAGAGCTCAGCCCCCAGGAACTGCCACTCCTGGTAGTGAATAAACAAATATGGTTTGTGCGGCACAATTGCATGTGTATGCTCTTGATAGAAGCATGTGGGTCACTTGATAGTTAACCCAGGAGAGGGGCCTCCAGATGTTGCCTAGACTACAATTCCCATCATCCCTTTGGCCACGCTGGGTGGCATTGACAGAAGTTGGAGTCCAGCAACATCTGGAAGACACCACATTGCCTAACCTGGCTTAAAATCTGAACAGCACCAGCGGGCTGTGTGTGATAGACTGTCGCAGTGGTACCTTGGGTTACATACGCTTCAGGTTACATACGCTTCAGGTTACAGACTCCGCTAAGCCAGAAATAGTATCGCAGGTTAAGAACTTTGCTTCAGGATGAGAACAGAAATCGTGCTCCGGCAGCGCAGCAGCAGCAGGAGGCCCCATTAGCTAAAGTGATGCTTCAGGTTAAGAACAGTTTCAGGTTTAAGAACGGACCTCCGGAACGAATTAAGTACTTAACCCGAGGTACCACTGTATTACGAAAATATAATCTTAACCCTTCCTCCCCCAAAGGGGAAAAATAGGGATGATGTTTTACAAGGAGCAGGTACCAGCAGATCATTGGAGGGTTTTAAAAATGAAATAAAATAAAATAAAAACAAAGTGCTTGTAGTGAGAGCTACACTGTTCATATGTGCCTATAATGACTTGCTGTCAGGGAGATGCATGCTCATTCTTTCAGCAATGGAACACAAAGAGGTTGACTCTGGAATTTTCCCAATCCCTTAATTAGGGCTTTGCTAGGAGAAGAAGGCAGGTGTAGAAGCTTTTCATCTTTGTTGACAGCAAGAGGAAAGTTCACCTGAATTCAACCATACAGCTCAGGGATCTGTCCTCACCTCCTTTGTTATACTTCCTTTTTCAGGTGATGCACTTCTGCCTGTTTGCTGCATTGCCTCATTTGCCCTAATTCAAACTGGAAGAAAACATAGGAAAATTAAAGCTGCCTTATACTGAGTCAGAGCCTTAGTCCATCTAGTTCAGTATTGTCTGAAGCAGGCGTGAGGAATCTTTTTGGCCCAGCGAGGCAGATCTTCATCTCTTCCCAACTGCATGGGTCCACTTTGACAGGTGGGTGAGACCACCCTGCGGTGAATCATGGGGTGCTTTCAAGTGGTTGACAAGTGAATGGTCCAGCCCAACTGTCAGTTGGTCCATGGGGTGGGGGAAGATAGTGACCAAGGCTATCAGCTGAGGAGTGAGGAGTTCAACTCTGCTGGTTGTGCAAGCTAGTTTTCCACAGGGAACTATCTCATGCACCCAAATGAAGCAGCCACATCGGTGGGGTATATAATAATAATAATAATTCATGATCTAATAATAATAATAGTTATTATCATTACCTGGTGCCTAAAGATATATAATGAAGGCACCAGGTGAGTCTTCCAGGGGAGAGCATTCCACAAGCAGGGAGCCACAGCAGAAAAGGCCTATGCTTGTGTTGCTGCCCTCCAGGCCTCTCATAGAGGGAGCACATGAAGAAGAGCCTCAGGTGGTGATTCCAGGGTCTGGGTCAGTTCATATGGGGAGAGGCGGTCCTTGCTCACTTAAATTTTGATGTCAAAAGTGAATTATTGATGTATCCTATCAGTTTTGTGCTGCAACTTTTTTAACGTGAACTGATTATAGCTAGGGCTTTTTTCTTGGTTGGAACTCCCTGGAACTCAGTTCTGACACCTGTCAGGTGGGCACCATCACCATTCTAAGAGAGGGAGAGAGGTGTTCATGGTGAGTTCCAGCACCTATTTTCATAGAAAAATAGCACTGATTAGAGCATGGGTAGGCAGGGGCTGGATCCGGCCCAATCGCCTTTTAAATCCAGCCCACGGACGGTCCGGGAATCAGTGTGTTTTTACATGAGTAGAATGTGTCCTTTTATTTAAAATGCATCTCTGGGTTATTTGTGAGGCATAGGAATTCGCTCTTCTTCTTTTTTTCAAAATATACTCCAGCCCCCCACAAGGTCTGAGGGACAGTGGACCAGTCCCCTGCTGAAAAAGTTTGCTGACCCCTGGATTAGAACATTGGTATTTGTGGAAGTGGTGGGATAGAAACGGGCACTATTCCACTTGGGATTCAGTTGCCTAGCTTCAAAAGCCAGGTTGCACAATTATCATTGATTGGGAGGCCTTGTGAAACAAAAAAGATTGGATTTTTTTGTGATAAGAAAAATGATGGGGAAATGCCCTGGAAAATGTTGGCTGATATGTCCTTGATGCAGCAACATCTAAGCTCCCTGCAAACAAATCAGGATGAATGCTTAATAAGCAGGTCACCATACCCTGAAAGCACTATGATACCACTTTAAACACCCATGGCTTCCCCCAAAGGATTCTGGGAGGTATAGTATGTTAAGTGTGTTGAGAGTTAAACCAGAGTGGTTTAAGAGCTCTTCATAGAGACCTCTGGGAATTAGAGCTTGGCAAGGGGAACAGGGGGTCTCCTAACCATTCTCAGCGCCCTTAACAAACTACAGTTCCCAAAATCCTTTGGGGAAGCCATGATTGTTTAAAGTAGTATCCTAGTGCTTTAAATGTGTGATGTGAATGTGGTCTATGGAAGGCAAACAGAGGTTTCAGGGTTGGGTTTATCAGCTATCATTGGGTAGTTCATAGTTTCAAAGTGCTTTCAACCCCAGGCTTTCAAAATTCCCCTTGTTCCTCCCCTCCCCTGCCTATAGTGTTGGCTTTGCAGCCTGACCCCTCTGTGCTTGCAAATCATGCTAAGTGGGAGAGAGCAGAGCTTTAGGTGGTTGCGTTTGATGCATTTTGTTTAAGTTGCTCATGCTGTTCCAACATCTGTCATTCCCTCTGCAGCCGTGCAATCAAACTGTCAGGGCTGAGTGAAGTTTTGCTGATCCAATCTGCTCCTGCTGCAGTTCCTTGTCAAAAACATCAGGATGTGGTGGATACAGTTGCATGCTCTTTAAACAACACAGCTTTATTTTCCCCCATTAGGGGTACTGTGGATGTTTTGGTCGGTTCTTTCGCAAGTCCCAGAGAACTCTCCTTCATTTGCAAAACATGTGTGGCTTGGGTTGCGATCACAGTAACACACAACAACACCCTCATTCCAGCAGTGTCAGAAAGTATCTCATTCTTCCCTCTTCCTGTGCTTGTGCTACCCAGACAGAAGACAACTATATCTCTCCATCTTGATTGTGAAAACACATCCTAGGAACGGATTTCTTGGCTCCCCATTTGTTTCAGAACAATTCCAAGTGTTGAGTTTGACTGTTAGATCACAGGTAGAGAACTTGGGCCCTGAAGAAGTATTTCCCTCCACATTTGTCTGTTGATACACCATGATGCAGCAGCCAAGATGGCGGCCTCCAAATTTTGTTGGATTAACAGCTCCCATCTTCCTTCACCACGGACAGAGGTTGATGGAAGTTGAAGCCCAACAACTGCTAGAGGGCACCGCTAGGCAGGGGCGCCAACTTGGCCCCCACTATATGGGTGCCCAGAGAGCACACGTGCGCCACGGACATCACAATGTGACATCATGGCGGCGCGCTAGTGGATGTGTGGAAGGAACCCACTGCGGTTCGCCTTGTCAAGCACACCTGGGGTGCACGTGACACAGCCTCTCTGTCTCCAGGTCAAGCCTGACTCGGGGATGGAACTGCTGCACCCGGGTGGTGGGATGGGTGTGGAAGGTACATTCTGCTGCATGTTGTCCCGACTTGGTAAATAATCATGTTACTATGCTAAAGCCCAGGAGGCTACACACACAACACACAGCAGGGTAAAGGCATGGATCTGGCATACTGAACTGCACAGACCTCCTCTTGTGCTCTCTAACTTGCTTGGCATCTTTATTTAAAATAATAATAATAATAATAATAATAATAATAATAATAACTTGCTTGCCATCTTTCCCTCCTTCTGCTTTTTAAACAAATAACTGAGCACCACGCAGGCGACCAGATTGGAGCACCTTGGGTACATTCCCGCCCAACTCCGTACACCTTTTATTACACATTGGCCAAGAGGTCAAAAGTCCTCCAGAAAATTCACAAGAATTTCAGTGCAAATTTCTCGTAATATCCATATTTCTGCATGCACTTTTGTCTAACAGACACACGATGTAAAGCATTTTTATATGCTATTTTCATTAATATATGCAATTTTATGCACACTTTATCATGATATATGGGGTTTGGGACATATCCATTGGCTTGAGAACTGCATTGCAAAATTCGGAGACCCTCAAATTTGGAGCACGGCTGTTTTGGTTCACACATTCATTCAGACTGCCCAAATTAGCAAGGTTGACCTTTACAAAGAAATGGACTAAAAGTCCCCGCTCCCACCACTGCATTCATTCCTATGCACCTTGTTAGCTACCCTTGCACTAAGATCTTCAGCAGAAGCACTTCTTAGGGTTCCCCCACAATCTGATGTGTGTCCGATGACTTCCAGGGAAGAGCATTCTTAAGAGTGCCTCCCCAAGTGGAAAGTGCTCTCCCTGTAGGGACTTGAATGGTTCCTACTGTGATATCATTTTGTAAATAGGGGAACTAAATTTTATTTCCCCCAGGCTCTTAAGCCCAACCTTTATTATCTCTGCATGATTGCTTTTATGCTGTGATGATGTTGTTTTTAATCTACAGGTGGTTTTTATGCTGCTCTTTAAAACTGTGCTGCCTTTAATGCTTTTGTTTCAAATTGGTTCCGTTGTAATATTAACTCTTTGCAAACCACCCTAGGAACTCTGAGGAAGGGCTGTAGCAGGGGAAGGGTCATAGCTCAGTGGTACAGCATCTTCTTTGCATGCAAAAGTCCCCTGGTTCAACCCCTGGGATCTCCAGGTAGGGCTGGGAGCAGAGGCAGAGCTAGACTTCCTGATCTATGATTGCCGTCATAGGATTGTTGTCTTTCACATGACGGTATAGGTTTTGACTCCACAGAGTGGGAAGTGACGGAGACAGGATGTTTGTGTTACTGTGTTCCGTGAAGTGGGACTATTGTCCTTTGTTCTTTTTCTCTTTGCTGTCTGATGCTAAAGGGAAGAGGGAGCCATGTTGCAGTGCTCTCTGTGTGTTCATATGTAAATAAAGTAGATTAGCCAAAATGCTGAGTTGCTGAGGTCTGTTACGCAACTGCGCAAACTCTGCGGATCCCTAAGTGTGCCGGTGTCAGTTGGCATCGGTCGCTGTGATGTTCGGGCTGAAGAAAGCTTATGAAGCTCCTGAACGATCAACCAGGAGGGAGGGAACATGCCAGTCGGGCATGTGTCTCTGCCAGAGTCCTACTCGAGTGTAGGCTGAACTCCTGACAAGCCAGATGCTCTGGCACCCAGAGCTGTGCACCCCCGGGATGCCGCCTGCGAGCATCCTGGGGGGAGCAGGGGGCGATGTCACCCCCCTCAGGGATAGCACCTGGAGCGGACTGCACCCACCACCCACCCCTTCCTCCACCAGTGACTGAGAGCAGCTGCCAATCAGTGTACACAATACTGAGAGAGATAGAGCAATAGCCTGCCTCAATATAAAGTAGCTTCTTATGTTATCAATAGAAGGAAGGTATGGATCTCTAATATTGTACGGTATAATATTTATTCATTCATAGGCAATGCTGGCTAGTTGCCATTGAGACAGAGCCAATGGGACAAAAGTTAGCAAGACAAAATCCTCTTCCGTCCCCGCAGGCTTAGCCTGTTTCCTGCAGAGCAGAGCCTTACCAACAGCCGTACCTTGAGCCTTTTTTGTATGTCTCACACACCTCAATAAGGAAGGCACTTTTCAGAATTCTCTCTGAATATTCTCCACCAATTGTGTATCCCAGGGTCTAAGGGAGCAGCCAGTTTCTCCCTCAGAATGCCACCATGTTCAGGGACACTACAGTGTGTGTGTGCAAAATGCAGCTATCTGCTAAGACCGTTGTTGCTATTGCCACTTTCAGTAATAACCACAGCAACCAAAAAGAAATCCCCCAAACCTGCTGGTGGGGAAATTTGGTGATGTAGTCATTAAATAGTGTGCAGAATTTTGAATTTGCACACACCTCTACTGCAGGGTGCTGAATGGCCAGGTTGTGACCTGCACACACCGCTTCCCTTTTTGAAGTGCCACAAACCAAATGAAAAAACACCCTTACCATTTGCCAGGGGTGACTTAAACCACATTTAATTGAAAGCCTTGCTGGATGCATGCTGTTTTTTTTAATAAAAAAAAAGAGCAATGTCCTTTAAAGACATTAGTAAAAAAGAAAGAAAAAGCCACATCGGAACAAAATCAAAGTCAGACACTGATAAAGAAGACCTAAACTGGAGCAACTGATTATGAGAACATGCTCATCATTAGTGATAAAAAGAAATTGGCTATGATTTTTAAAAAGGGGGAAAGTGGGAGGGGGGTTAAGAGAACCCACTAACTACCACCAGGACTAAATGGAGGTGAACAGCAGTTACTTTTTAAAGGCGCAATCTCTCCGACATTGCCTACATCTTAATAGTTGAAAGTATTAAGAGAGGAAACCGTTCTGATTATGCTCTGTTAACAGCCACATGCATTTTTAATCCATTTTGCTGGCGTGTCACACCTTATTCCTCCTCCTCATCTCCACTGGTGCTGTTATGTACATGGTCTTTAATAGAATCTTTATATGCCTTTCTTTTAATAGGACTCTGAACTTGGAGTTGGGGGGAGCTGCCTGTGGGTGCCCTCACTCCGACAGCAACTGCACGGCTTCTGCATCTCACCCTCATCAAGGGGAAATTGCCTTCCAAATTGTGCTCCAGCCTATATTGAACCTGCACCCCAAATGTGCCTGTGCCCTTTTCCTCAGCCAAAGAGAAATTCCTGCAGAGATTTCAAAACAAAACCAAGCTTACAAATGCTGCCATATGTTCAAAAGGGTGGAAATGGCAGGAGGAAAACCAGTAAGAAGCTCTGCTAAGCTTTCTTTCTTTCTTTCTTTCTTTCTTTCTTGAAAGATATGGATATTATCCATATCTATAGCTTAGCCCCAGGAGAACCATATGCACCCAAACCAAAGTTTAGTAATCTGACACCGTCTTTTTCTCCACCAAGTGCCCCAACTGACCTCTGGGATGACACATTCAAGGAGCCAAGCAAATCCCAGTTATAATATGAACCCTAAAGTTCATCATCTCCTCTCTTTTCCCCCCTTTGTGTGTGTGTTTCATCTAGACAAACCCAAGAATCACTGAATCCCGGTTAAAGAATTCATTTTCCCATGCAGAGAAAGAAGGTGGAAAATGTCAACTGCCACTCTCCCGTTTATACTGCTGATGAAATAAAAGTTCAGGCAAAGAGGTAGAATGGTTCTGCAGAAAACTAGAAATTTTGATGATAGAGAGACGGGGGGCTTTCCTGCCTGATTTTATTGCTTGTGCTTTGGCTTTTCCAAGTGATATATAAAAACATGCATCTGTTACCCACAGCCAAATACAATGGATACCTAAAGAAGAAGAGGGGAGCTATTGGTACAGTATTGAGGAGTTGATTTCTCCTGTTCTGCTTCATTATTATTCCACAATTCTGATGCCATTTGTATTCCACTTAGGTTGTCTTCCAGCAAAAGAGAGGAGAGGTGGTGTGGTTAGAGTGCTAGACTAGAATCCAAACAAATTGATGGGTCCAGATAGCATCCACCCAAGGGTCCTCCAAGAAATCAAATGTGAAATTGCTGACCTTCCAACAAAAAATATGCAACTTGCTCCGTAGGCCAGTATGAAGGCCTGTAAAGTGGGCAATGTAACACCAATTTTTAGGGAAGGATCCATGGCACATCTTGGAAATGACAGGCCGGTTAGCATAATGTCTGTCGCAGGAAAACTGGTGGAAAGCCAGTTGTTAAATATAAAATAACCCAGCATATAGAAGAACAAGCCTTGTTGCAGTAGAACCAGCATTGCTTCTGCTAGGGCATGTCCTGTCTCCTGAACCTATTAGAGTTTTTGATAGTGTCAGCAAGGGTAAAGATAGAGATGATCCGGCTGACATAGCGTACTTGACATTTCAAAGTTTCTAACAAAGTACTTCACCAAATAGTAAGCTTAGCAGTTATGGAATGAAAAGTGAGACCCTTTCTGGATCAAGAACTGGTTAAGTTTGTGAGATGCTCTTTAAAACCGGCCAAGTTAGCCAAAATCTACAAGAGTAGATCGGAGTTGTGTTGGAGATGCAAAAAGGGGATTAGAACATACTTGCATATGTGGTGGGAGTGCAAAAAGATTAAAGAATTCTGGGACATCATTTATAACGAGTTAAAAAAGATGTTCAAGCTCCCATTCACTAAAAGACCGGAGGCTTTCTTATTAGGAATCATGACAACAGAAATCAAGAAGAAGGTTAGACCACTATTCATGTATGCCCCAACTGCTGCCAGGATTCTAATTGCAAAAAAATATATATAGAAAAGCAGAACCATCCCCTCAAAAATCGAATGGCAGACCAAATTTGTAGAATACAACAGTTAGCAAGGATAACCGGGTTAGTGAGAGGAAACTTGATACAATATGTTAATAAAGAATGGATAGTAATCAAAGAATATTTCAAAGGTTACTGTGATAACAAAAGCTTTATGGCAGATATTTAATGAGTCTTGTAACATAAGGTAATATCGGCAGAAACTAGAATCAAAAAGGAGAAAAATATTTTCAGGAAACTGTAAAAAAAATAATCTAAAATAGTACAACAAGTATAGTTGGGAGGTTCTTTTTTATTGTAAATAAAATCATCTTCTATCTCTTTTTCTATTTCTTTTCTCTTTTCTCTTTTTCTTCTTTTATATTCTTCTGTATATTTATAATTTGTAATGTCTGAAATGTAATGTTTTATATTGTATGTATTTTAATATTTATGTATAATAAAGGTTGATTTAAAAAAAAATGTTTGTGTGTGTGTATAAAATAGTTTGTGGGGTGCTCTTCCCAGGGAGGCTCACCTGGTGTCTTGTATATCTTTAGATGCCAGGAGAAAATCTGATTAAACAATCTATGGCCTTTAAAACTGAGGGGAGCTATTGTTTTGTTTTGTTTTATTTTATTTTATTTATTTTATTTTATTTTATTAACATATAAAACACATACATTTACATTTACACAATACATATGCACAACACACTACCTTATTTTCATAGCATAAAACATACCTACATTACTCTATATAATACCTACCTATACTATACATATCAACCTACACACCTACCCCACACGGACACCCACCCACTTCCTGCCGTTCTTGTTACACTACTTTACTCTCCATTCACTCTAATCATTTTCTGGATTCACTCAATATCTGCCAAAAATTCTACTTTTTCCACATAGATTTTGCTGTATTCCTTAAAGATAGCCCACTCCGTACTGAACTTTTTGCACCATATCTCCTCTTATATAAGAGGAGATTAGAGGGGGGCTATTGTTTCCTTTGTAATTGTGTTATGTGTTTTTGTGTTTTTACACTATAAACCGTTCTGTGATTCTTGCATGGAGGGTGGTAATGTGTGTATATATATATATATATATATATATATATATATATATATATAATAATTATAACAGGAAGCAGAGAGGGTATGCAGAACGTAAAGTCCCTCCCTTCAAGGATATCCATTTAGAACTCAAAAAGATGTTAAGAATCTCCTTTAATTTCAAACCAGAGGCATACTTATTGGGTATTATTGATGCAGACTTTCCTAATAAATTTAAGGATATTTTTCTCAACTCAACGGTGGCAGCAAAGGTTCTTATAGCCACAATGTGGAAAAGTGAAAAAGCTCCCTCAAGACAAGAGTGGGTCCAAAAAATGATTGACTATGCTGAATTAGACAGCCTATCTGAAA